AACCCTAACCCTACCCTGGTGCACACCCCTAACCCTAATATATGCGTAAAATACCTTTTGAAATAATGAGATTTTAAAAAAGACTACCTTGAGTAGCTTTTTTTCCACAGCTCATCATTTCTTCCCATTCTACCCACATTCCAACCCTCAAAATCATGCTAGAACACCTTGTTTATCAAATGCTAACCCTACCCTGGTGCACTCCCCTAATCCTAATATATGGTTAAAATACCATTGGAAATACTGGAATTTTGGAAAAGCCTTCTTTGAGTAGATTTTTTTACGCAGCTCATCATTTTTCCCGTTCTGAACACATTCCAACCCTCAAAATTGTATTTGCACACCTCCTTTTTCAAACCCTAACCCTACCCTAGTGCGCACCCCTAACCCTTATATATGGGTAATATTCCATTGAAAATGATAGGATTTTGAAATACCTCTCCTTGAATGGTTTATTTTCCCACAGCACATCATTTCTTCCCATTTTAAACACTTTCCAACCCTCAGTGTAAAAAAAAAAACCACTCAAGGAGGGCTATTTCAAAATTCCATCATCCAATCACTTTCCATGGAATATTACCACTATACTAGGGTTAGGGGTGTGCACCAGGGTAGGGTTAAGGTTTCAAAAACGAAGTGTTCTAGCACGATTTTGAGGATTGAAATGTGGTCAGAAAGGGAAAAATGATGAGCTGTGGAAAAAAAAGCATTCAAGGAGGTTTATTTCAAAATCCAATAATTTTAAATGTAATATTACCAATATATTAGGATTAGGGTTGTGCACCGGGGTAGGGTTAGGGTTAGAAAAACGAGGTGTGCTAGCATGATTTTGATGGTTGGAATGAGTTTAGAATGGCAAGAAAGTATGAGCTGTGGAAGAAACACTACGCAATAAGGGATATTTCAAAATCCTGTCATTTTCAAAGGAATATTATGCATATATTAGGGTTAGGTGTGTGCACTAGGGTAGGGTTAGGGTTAGAAAAATGAGGTGTGCTAGTATGAGTTTGAGGGTTGGTATTTGTTTAGAATGGGAAGGAAGGATGAGCTGTGGAATAAAAGCTACTCAAGGAAGGCTTTCTCAAACTCCCATTATTTCCCAAGGTATTTTAGCCCTATATTAGGGTTAGGGGTGTGCACCAGGGTAGGGTTATGGTTTGAAAAACGAGGTGTTCTAGCACGATTTTGATGGCTGGAATTTGTTTAGAATGGGAACAAAGGATGAGCTGCGTAAAAAAATCTACTCAAAGGCGGCATTTCCAAAATTCCACTATTTCCAATGGTATTTTAACCATATATTAGGGTTAGGGGTGTGCACCAAGGTAGGGATGGGGTCTGAAAGATGAGGTGTTTTAGCACGATTTTGAGGGTTCGGATGTGTTCAGAATGGGAAAAAATGATGAGCTGCGGGGAAAAAAAGCACTCAAGGAGGGCTATTTCAAAATCCCATCATTTTCAATGAAATATTACCCATATATTAGGGTTAGGTGTGTGCACCAGGGTAGGGTTAGGGTTTGAAAAACGACGTGTGCTAGCACGATTTTGAGGGTTGGGATGTGTTTAGAATGGGAAAAAGGATGAAATGTGTAAAAAAAAAAAAAAGCTACTCAAGGAAGGCCTTTTCAAAATCCCATTATTTGCAATGGAATATTACCCCTATATTAGGGTTAGGGATGTGCACCAAGGTAGGGTTAGGGTTAGAAAGAGGAGATTAGCTACCATAATTTTGATGGTTGGAATGTGTTCTGAATGAAAAAAAATGATATGCTGCGTAAAAATATCTACTCAAAGAATGCTTTTCCAAAATGCCCGTATTTCCAATGGCATTTTAACCATATATTAGGGTTAGGTGTGTGCACCAGGGTAGCGTTAGGGTTTGAAAAACGGGGTGAGCTAGCACGATTTTGAGGGTTGGGATGTGTTCAGAACGGGAAAAAAGGATTTGCTGTGGAAAAAAATGCACTCAAGGAGGGCTATTTTAAAATCCCATCATTTGCAATGGAATATTACCCATATAATAGGGTTAGGGGTGTGGACCAGGGTAGGGTTAGGGTTAGAAAAACAAGGTGTTCTAACACGGTTTTGAGGGTTGGAATGTGTTCAGAACGAGAAAAAATGAGGAGCATTAGAAAAAAATCTACTCAAGGAAGGCTATTTCAAAATCCCATTATTTCCGATGGTATTTTATCCTTATATTAGGGTTAGCGATGTGGATCAAGTTAGCATTATGGTTAGAAAAATGAGGTGTTCTAGCACGGTTTTGAGGGTTGGGATGTATTCAGAACAGGAAAAAATGATTAGCACTCAAGGAGAACTATTTCAAAATCCCATCATTTTGAATAGAATATTACACATATATCAGGGTTAGGGGTGTGCACCAGGGTAGGGTTAGGGTTAGAAAAACGAGGTGTGCTAGCATGATTTTGAGGGTTGGGATGTGTTTAGAATGGGAAAAAGAATGAAATGTGTAAAAAAAAGCTACTCAAGGAAGGCTTTTTCAAAATCCCATTATTTGCAATGGAATATTACCCATATAATAGGGTTAGGGGTGTGCACCAATGCAGGGTTAGGGTTAGAAAGAGGAGATTACCTACCATAATTTTGATCGTTGGAATGTGTTCAGAAGGGGAAAAAACAATGAGCTGTGGCAAAAAAGCTACTCAAGGTAGTCTTTTTCAAAATCCCATAATTTCCAATGGTATTTTACCCCTTAGTAGGGTTAGGGATGTGCACCAAGGTAGGGTTAGGGTTAGAAAAAGGAGATTAGCTACCAGAATTTTGATGGTTGGAATGTGTTCTGAATGAAAAAAAAAATGATATGCTGTGTAAAAATATCTACTCAAGGAGTGCTTTTCCAAAAAGCCCGAATTTCCAATGGTATTTTAACCATATATTAAGGTTAGGGGCGTGCACCAGGGTAGGGTTAGGGTTTTAAAAATGAGGTGTTCTAGCACGATTTTGAGGGTTGGAATGTGTTTAGAAGGGGAAGAAATGATGAGCTGTGGGAAAAAAAGCACTCAAGGAGGACTATTTCAAAATCCGATCATTTTGAATGGAATAATACCCATATAATGGGGTTGGGGGTGTGCACCAGGGTAGGGTTAGGGTTAGAAAAACGAGGTGTGCTAGCATGATTTTGAGGATTGGGATGTGTTTAGAATGGGAAAAAGGATGAAATGTGTAAAAAAAAAAAAAAAAGCTACTCAAGGAAGGCTTTTACAAAATTTGCAAAGTAACATTACCCTTATATTGGGGTTAGGGATGTGCACCAAGGTAGGGTTAGGGTTAGAAAGAGGAGATTAGCTACCATAATTTTGATCGTTGGAATGTGTTCAGAAGGGGAAAAAACAATGAGTTGTGGAAAAAAAAGCACTCAGGGAGGGCTATTTCAAAATCCCATCATTTTCAATGGAATATTACCCATATAATAGGGTTAGGGGTGTGCACCAGGGTAGGGTTAGGGTTAGAAAAGGGAGACAGGCTACCATAATTTTGATGGTTGGAATGTGTTCAGAATTTGAAAAAATTATGAGCTGTGGAAAATAATCTACTTAAAGAAGGCTTTTTGAAAATTTTATTATTTTAAATAATATTTTAATTGTATATTACAGTTAGGGATGTGCACCAGGGTAGGGTTAGGTTTAGAAAAACGAGGTGTGCTAGTATGATTTTGATAGTTGGGATGTCTTTAGAATGGGCAGGAAGGATGAGCAGTGCAGAAAAAGCTACTCAAGGTTGGGTTTTCCAAAACCACAGTATTTGAAATGGCATGTACTGTAATACTGGGGTTAGGTGTGTTCACCAGGGTAGCGCTATCATTTAGAAAACTACGTGTCCTGGCATGATTTTGATGTTCAGAATGGGACGAAATGATTAGCTGTGCAGAAAAATCTACTGAAGGAAGGCTTTTAAAAAATCGTATCTTTCAATAGTATTTTACTTACATATTAGCGTTGGTGTTCTGTAGTAGGGTAGGGTTAGGCCCGTAGTGGCGAATGTCTGGCATGCGGGCCATAATGGGCAGGCAGAGCCCTCTCTGTCAGAATGCGAGCCATGTTGTCCTAGTATTGCTTCACCAGCTAATCATTGGATAGCAGCACACATTGGGTACAAGTGTATGGTCGGAAATGCGTTGCTGCGCCAGGGAATGCCGTCACCAGTAGCAACTCATTAGCTACAACTCGTGAATGCTGTCACATGGCCGTATAGTGTGCTGCCAGATACATACACACACCCACCCACACACATTTGCTTGGACTGGCTGTGAGTTGTTTTTCCTAAACTAAAACCTGAGTTTTCAGGTTTTATTGTAGTGTTGGCAGTTTGCAATAAATATGTGGGTCTTGTGTTGCAGTTTGGGCACGCCTTCTCTAAAAGGTTTCCCATCACTGCTTTATATTTTATGCATGGCTAATATCTAGTTTAAATCTCTATCTTCTTTTTTGCAACTGGACGATAATACACAATACAATTAACTAATTACAAAGCCATTATATTAATTTAAGTGATATTTGGTTAAAATTGTGCTATATGTATTCATCTTGAAAATTTCTTAAAGTACAGTTTTGCCACTACTGTAGTCAGAAAATTTTCCTACAGTGTATAGAATCTGAATTCCTGAACTGTATGTCCTGTTGTATAACTACAGACCAAAACATTACTGATTTGTTTTGATTGCCTTTGACTGCTAAAAGATTGTAATAAGCCTTACTACTCTCCCATGGACTGTGTAGGTGCCAGATAATGCCAAAGAACACTCAGATGGTTTCTGTTAGGTTAGAGTAAGTATTTTGGCATGGGTGCTTGGACTGTGATTTCACTTCCTATTTAGTAAAAAGTGCAAGTAAAATTCTTATAGCTCTTGAAATAAAGAATCAACTTTCAACAAATATGCAAAAGGGAATATCCTGTGATGTTACTGACATTTTAAAATAATTGTTCAGATTTTATAATTAGACAATGCTGAAAAATCAAGAAGCCTCAAACTATACAGTACTCACCATGTCCAGCCATGCTTGTTTGACATGGAGTATTTTTCCATGATGGCAGTAAGACGAAGAAGGGAAAATTTTTGCAACAGATTTAACTGAGCAGCTGACTGGCTGCTGATCGCTAGGGATCCTATGGAATGGCTTGGTTGGTGAGAAATCTGGAATCTATGCAGATGTAATTGCCTTTAGACAAAGAAAATAAACCACAATTGAATAAGGCGGCTGGTTATGTTACTAGGTTTCATGTTTTTAAATTGTCTCTGCAAGTACATGATTTTTTTTTACTGTTTTTCTTGTCAGTATAAATGCATCTAGAGTATGCTGCCAGGATTTAAGTAACACAATAAGATTCTATTGAAGTTAGAGAAATATTTCAGACTATGATGGAAGTTCACCATGTATAAAACTTCCATCTAATTTGGTTCAGTATAATCCCATTCACTTCTATGGCATTTAAGCATAAAAAAGAAGGTGCGTAAGTATAGCTAAAAGGCATAATTCATAACTGTGCTGTTTTGAAACAAACCTCTTCAGAAGCCTAGAAAAACCTAGCATACCTGTGCACCTGGGATGATGTAGGGCCTAATCCCTGGTAGACAGACAATGGCTGGGTTCATACAACATGATAAGACATAGTGGCTTATAAATCAGCATGGCTTTTCATTTTGTTGGAACCCAGCAGCATGATTTGTTAACTATGCACAAGCCACTCTTGCTGGGTTCAGACAGCAACCAAGCCCCCTATAGCTTAAAAGCCACCATAGTGCTGTATGGCCTCATCAATGCTTCAATGAGTTCAGAAAGTTATGCTCCAACTAATTGGGAAAGTTGAAACAACTTCTATCCAAGGTTACTTTCTTTCTAGTGAGATACTGTCTTCTAATCAATGGTATTCTTCACACTCCTGTAAGCAGGTAAGAAGTTTTAAATGGAAGGTGTTTTGGGAGTACGGAACAATTCGGAATTAAATTTTACACTGTAGAATAAAATAGCATTTCAAATTGGGAATTAAAACAGTTCCTATGATTTTGATCTATCAGGTGCTTCAGGGCTACTCCTATAACAACTAGCAATAACCTCTCAATAATTATGGGAGAATTGTATAACAGTTGTATATATTTTTCCCATACTTTGGAACTCCATGCAACAGGATTTTGATAACCTAGATCCAACACAAAGAAGGATTGCAAACCTGCTTGGCCTAGTGAGAGATGCTCCAACACCAGAGTCTCTTCTGTCCCTGGTACCAGTAGCTTCTGATTCATTGAGGGATGTCCCATCTTTATCCGTATCACTAGGTGTTGTCTGGCCATCTGATACAGAGTTCTGTTCAAAGTCCAATGAAATCTTAGCAGGTGACTGGAATGATAATGACCCATGTTCGCCAATGGATAATGCCTTGTTCTTTAGCTCTGGCAATATATCTTTGGACCAGTCATCTACAGATTCTTGAAGCCCGTTGACATGTTGCAAAAGATCATCCAGATGAGGAAAAAGGTTTTCTCTTTCCAAGTCCAGCAGATCTCCAGTGCTGGCATATAAATGAGAACCTGGAACATTGTCATAAATGCTAATTCGACTCTCCTTTGGGCAGGAAGCAAGGGGGCTGGGTTCTTTAGGTGCTGAGCAGGTCTTGTTGCTTAATGAAAGGCTACCTGTCCTCCAGTTCACTGTGTTACTGTTATCTGTAGGAGACAGGCTTTCAATGGAAAGTGCCTTAGGAAACGTTCCAGGTTTGTGGTCTTTAGGAATATGAACAACTAGGTTCTCTTGCGAATGGAATTCATTTCTGCGATTTTGATCTACCACTTGCTTCAAGGCTCCTCCTGAAAGAACATCCAGGTCCTCCAAGTACATGCCACCTCGTTTATTTGCTTCGTGATATTTACGTTCCTTTAAGGAAGGAGTGCTTATGCCACTACTACAAATCTCTGATTGGCTACTCTCACTGCTGGATTTAGCAGAGAAGGAAAATCCTTGTTTGGTTGCATCTTGGAATGCTATGGTTTGGAGGTCTCCATTCCCTATCTGCATGCATTGAAACTCCTTTAGGGTTTTTGGTTCATGCTGAAGCACAGGTCTGCTTATTACTAAGCCACTAGTCCTTCCAAGGCTTTTTAACTTTCCATGTGCACCTCTGGCTTTTAGTGTCTCCATGCGCTTTAGAAAGGATTTGGCTCTGGCTCGTGTTGTTTTCTCATTCCCAAGGTTCAAAGAGTCTTCTGGAAGCCGGGGAGAGGTACTATCAATTGATGTAGCGTCATGCACAAGAGTGTCTTCTACACAGTACTGTCCCGAACAGTCGCTTGTCTCTCTGAGAAGGCTGCTGACTCCAGACTGACTCCTGTGGTCACTTCCCCCGCTGCTCTCGCTGTGAATAGAGGAGACCTCAGGCTCACTTAGATCAGTGAGCACACTTTCGCTACTGGTGGTGATTTTCATTTTAATGTCCCCTGGGGACCCATGTTTGATTGTCTGATGAATAAAGGTGTCAATATCGTCCACCCGAGACCATCTTCGGCTTGTCCTTTGGAAAACCCATTTGTTACTGATGGCACAGTGGTCTTCCTCATCAGAGTCTTCACTCTGAAAAAGAACACACAACATGTAGATAAGCAGAATGTCTTTCCTTGCAGAATTTCTCTCTTTCTAGGATTATAGATTTTTTAAAAAAATGGTGATGCAGTAAACGTAACTAAACTGGCTGAAGATAATGGATCACAGCCTTTCTTTCCTCAAGTTTCTAAAATACAAGCTCTGAAATGCATAAGTAAACAGAGTGGATTCATCACAGGGTCAATATCATTCAGCATTAGCTCACTCAATAGATCCATCTGGAATGTACTCTCCCTGGCCTGAGAGGTTCATAGCGAAAGCCTCATGGAGGTTAACTAAGTAAAATCACTGGGGGAATAAAATAAAGCAGATGCAAATATCAACTATGATGCATGACTCTGTAAATTCTAAATGGATGACGGCATCCTATGTGGTGAAGTAACATGATGCTTTTTGTACAAGCTATCACAAAGCCAAGAGCAGGACATTTCAGATAGTTCTTCCCTCAAAAGTTAGAAAAGTCAAATGTTATTTGAGGAGTTTAAAGCAGTATTATTTTAGGGCCCTGAAAAAGACATATGGGAGGACTGTCTTGAGACTACCATTTATGTAACACCTCTTATTTCCTCAATCCAGATGTAGTTGTGGGAAACTTATTGTATAGACCACCCAGTGACCCCCTCCATTTGGATCAAAAGATGCACCCAGATCGTCAATAAATTTCATATAAGCGCCACAGTGGAGATGGGGATGAGTGTGCTAGTGGAATACTGTGTAGGCAGATCTCATTTGCTGAGTGGAACAATTGTATCTTGTGTAACTCCAACCTGTGTAATTAAAGGTGCAATCCTATTCATGTTTAGACAGAAAAAGTCCCATAACTCCCAGAACACCCCACCAAGCCAGGCTTCTGCTTTTGTATAAATATGAACAGAATAGCTATGAAGGTATCACCCTATCTAACTGATAACCTGGGATTGCTGATGGGACCTAAGCCAGAAGGAGAACAAGGCATTATTGTTTACATTGTTCTACCAACACTCATGATGTTTTTGCAAAGTCAAAAATAAAATAAAAAGTGATGCTTATTATCCTGATGAACCTAACATCTGGTACTTGCCAGAAGGGGAGGCAACAGAGAAAGAGGAAGAAGGCAGGGATGTGTTTACTGTATGGGTGGGGAATTTCTCTCAGTTGGAAAGCTGCATTCCATCTTGGAAAAGCAATCAGAGGCTGCTGTAATTCCAGTGGTTGTGGAGTAGAAATCAAAAGAACAAGAAAAAGGCAAAAGTGGCAGGGCTTTCAGCATATTTTAGTATGAAGCCCTTGCCACCAGTGAATTAAATCTTAGGAGAGTCCTTTCAACCCTTGAGAAAGCTGGGGTGGGGTGAACTGCACCAAAGCTGGAAAACCACCAAGAGAGCTGTGAGAAAAGGGCATGGCCCCCTGAGGTACCATGGAGAGCTCGATTTCGATCATGTGAGAATTGGTTTGGCCTGACATCTCCCACCTCTGGTTTTCTGAAAGGGAAGTCCCACATGGATTTTATTTACTTTCTAGTATGTTTGAAGACAGATATAAATTAAGAAGTCCAACAGTGTTTTCTTCACTTGTGCTGTGAGCCCACCTTCACAACTGAGTTGCCAGACAAGTATGCCAAGTACAAGGCAGGCTGAAGCTCATGCAAGCAGGAGCAAGGTTGCAAAAAGTTCCTAAATTGTGTGCCTGAAATTGAAGTAGCTTAACCTTCTCCTTCTTTAGTGAAAGAATATGTTTTTGCTGCTGTTGTTGCTCTAGCAATTCTTACTATACAATACAACTTCAAGGTCAAAATATTATAATTACATTACATGCTTATCCTGTTTTTCTTCCTTTTGCAAAGACTCAAGGTGGCTCATGAGGTCTCCCCCTATGCATTTTAGCTTTACAACAGCAACAACTCTGTGAGGTAGGTTAGTATGAGAGTCCATGACAGGCCTAACGTCACTCAGTGAGCTTCCTGGCTATGTGAGGACAAGGACCTGGATCCCCAAGTACCGGTCCAACACTTTTAACTACTATGCTACACTCAGGTAGAGATTACTTTAAATCTGTGCTGAGCAGCTGCATCTTTTTTGTTTTGTTTCTCTTTTTATGCTAAAGTAGGTTCAGGACTCCTGATCCAGGTTGGAACCCTAGCATGGGGAGGCAGAAAGGATTTAAGATGTGGATTGGACTCCTCTGTCTACTCTAGAGTAAAAAGTGAAGAATAAATTAGCTGCCAGAGACAGATTTAAGGTAATGTCTGTTTGGGTGAGCAAAACACTTTGTTATATTCCCATAGCTGAAAGAGAAAACTGGGAAGGAGACAGTTGTGCACAAGTGATGGAACAAGGAGGTGAACCTCTCAAAAAGGGAGGCAAAAATGGGCAACGCTTTCAGGTTATGGATATACATATCTGAAGTCCAGATGTAGATTCACAGCACTGTGAGGTTTTCTGCAGGGGACAAGTGTTTCTGTAAAAGTGTTAATCACTATGTCCACTTTTGGCTTTGTTGAAGAATTGAGATCTGAGCTCTACAGTAAAGAGCTTTCTTTTTCCTATTTTTCCACTACATAACATCTAGGTGGAATGCAAATACACAATTAAAGGCAGCACTTTCAGACCTTATACCCCATTCTGAAAAATAATAATAAAAAACCACTGGGAAAGTGTTCTTAACAACAAAAACAACAACAGAAGCAAAACCGGAGGATCACAATGCTGTCCAAGGAATCCATAAACAACTGTGAGAAAGGAATCACAGTGGGATAGTTTTTTTTCGCCCTGAAATAGGCCAGAGTTATGATGGGAATAAGTGGGGAGGTTTTAGGTTTCCCTAAGAAGAAGTGGGATACATGCCATTCCATGCTGTCCTACTTCAAGCACAGCTGGCAACAACTTCTATTGCACCACTGACAAGGGTTAGTCAAGCAATTTGCAAGAGAAACCAAGTTTCTCAAGGCAACAATCTGCACTATGCAAACTACTGATTAGAAAGTGCCCCTGGGACAGGAGTGCCTTGTAAATAAAACTGTTGGCTCTGTTACAAAATTCTCTATATCAAACAGCATTTTCTGCATTCCTTTTTGAAACCCCTTAAGCCTTAAATAATGCCTGTGTTACACAAGGAGGCTGTAAACATGGAAAGCTTATTTTAATAAGTCAGCACAAAAAGATGAAAAATGTTATTAGCTTTTTGTCTGGCAGGAGATCATGTCCTACGGTCACATGGCTTCAGGGTGCCAACGTGTATGCCCTTGTATTTTGAGAAAGCTGCTGGAATGGTTCTTTTATCACAGAGTTTCTCTCATTGGCTGCTACATAACCATGTTCATGCCACCTTTAGCTCAGTTTGTTATTCTGCTTAAGAGTGTAGCAGGCAGTACAGAGCAGGTGGAAAGAATGATAGTGGTCAGAATTTGGGGAGCAGACCTTGATCTTAAATCAAATCATTCCCTTGGACACAGTTCTAATACACTACATGGTCTAAGAATCCAATACTACCACTTTATGCTCTGTGCCGTTTCATTTGCCCGTTGATGTGACATAATGGTTGGTTGCTTTCCTTTATGATCCCACATCAAACACCAGGGCTAGTTCCATTACAGCAGGACTCTATAAATTAGTGCTGAACATACAGTGAACTACAACTAGCCTTAATGTGCAGTTTGAGGTTATATATGGGACCACTTCTGGTGCCAATCCTATGTGATTTCAAAAGTGCTGCCTATGCAAAACACAAGCATTTCCAAATTCATATGCACTTGCCTTTTTCCTTTGGAGGTTCACATCGAGTTTCATTGAGGCGCACTTGTTCAGTGTGTTCAGTCGTCTAAAAGATGAATGAAGTCCAAAGGTTAGCATTCATGAATCAGTTGAATTGGTTCTTTATGATCTTCGGTATTGTTCTTTCTTTCCTTTGTATAAATAGAACTTTAAATGAGCACCTGTAAAGCTAGATTCAAAGAGGCATATACAATGCTAAGCAGTGGAATATACTTAACACTGGGTGCAGGAATCCATTTTCTCATGCAACTCATGAGCTGGTGGCTTGAAAGATTAATACCCATTACCATAACAAGAAATGGGCTCCCAGGTAAGATTTCAGGACAAATCCTATCTTCTTTACTGCCCTTTCCTCTCTAAATTGGATACATTTCAATAACTTGAAAGACCTATACAAAATCTCAACATTAGGAATAAAGTGAAATAAACACTAGGACCAAGCAAGTAATTAATAGTATAAAATTGTGATGACAATGACAACAAATGCTTTCTACTTTCATCGTTAAATATACATTCAGAGCACTAATTTCTTATAACTATGAAAAGCAAACATTAACCAATTGCTTTGATTTCAGCAGGATGCACTTTTAAGGCAAAGCAACTTTTTAAAAGCAGGGAAAATTTACCCCCCCCCCCCAGTGAGTGCTATAGTATAGTAATTCTTAAACTAAACTTAAGCTTCAAGACTGTCACTTATACTGAAAACAGCAGGACAGAAGCATGGTTATCTGTCTGTAGATAGCCCCACTGTCATTCCTGGTCAAAAGGTTTTGAAAATTTTGTAAACACCTCAAACACCATCAAGTTAATAATGATTACTAGCACCAGAAGCCTAAGAAAGCCTAAGAAATTCCCTACGCAACGCCTAAGAAAAACTTGCAATAGTACATGTGAGTACCCAAGGGACAGTATTCAATGGTGTCAGTTCACTAGTGCAGATGAGACTGAGTTAGAGGAAACTAGACTCCAAACTATGCAGAAACGACTGCACAATTCCAACTCTGCAACCAGTTCTTCATAATGTTCATGCAACTCATTGTGTAACTGGCAGCACATTACATTTGCACAATTGGCTGTGCAAGAACATCCACAATGTTTCTACAGGTATGATGTACAATGGAAAGATCTGACATAACTCCACTAGCACTATCTGTACGTGCAGAATATCACTGTTCAATACTACCCATTCTGTGCAGAGCTCTGCATCAAATGCTCTGTTTTCTATAGACTCCATCAGTGTTGTCACATATATCAGTGAACTGCTCTCATCAAGAGCAAATACTTCAATAATGATAATAGTTTCCTGTCTGCATTTTTCTCTAACTCTACATTAAAAGATAATTTTCTCTTCAGGGCTCGGGCTTTAGTGACCATACTGATTTAGTTGTTCACATTCTAAGCAAGAAAGATGACATATCTTCTGGGGCCCTTCCAGTATTTTGAAACAGATTGTGCCAATGAAATGAAAGGATTAACGGTTGTCTTTATGTCTCGAGAGTCTCCAATTAAATACAGCCTGCCTGGATTTCTCACACCTTCTTGACGTGCCAATGGCAGAAGACAGAGTTCTCCATCTGCTTGCATCTGTCATTGGAATGAGAGTCAAAGCTCCAGCAACAGTAATTCCAAGACTAGAAACAAGAGTCAATGACATTTTGATCAATGTGAGGATGAGTTGGTTTTATGCGTTACATTTTGGACTCAGAAAGCTGTCTTTCATGTACAAAAACCTGCATGAACAACAGCAATTGTTTAAGATGCAACATGAATAGGCAGACAGATCCAAGTTGCTTGTCTGCATTCAAAAATCACTATTCATACATGTTTGTACCATATCATAACTAATACACTTGCTGTCTATTGCTTTTTACTTGGACATTTGTAATACTCTGAAGATGTTCTATAGCATTCAATACCACTGAAAAAAGTAATTGAAGAGGGCCAAGTCCAGAGGGACATAATAAGAGCCATGCTGGACCAGACTAATGGCTTCTCTGATCTAGCATTTCAAGCATACAGTTGCCCATGGGAAGACAGCAAAGAGAGTATGAGTGCGGTAGCACTCCCACTCATGTATCCCAGCAACTACTATTCAGAGGCTTTCTACCTCTAATAGTGGAGGTAATATATAACCTTCATGCCCAAAAGCCATTGATAGCTTTGATCCTCCATGAATTTCTCTGGGGGTCATCACACAGCTTGCGGGCGCGAATTCCAGAGTTCAGGTAACTGCTGTGTAAAGAAGTACTTTTTTGCTCCATCCTAAAACTTCTACCATGCAGGGTTTTTTGTTTTTGTTTTTTGATGATTTAGTCTATCCTCTTGAGTATTATGAGAAGGGCTTCTCCTCCCTCTCCACTTTCTCCATGCCATCTGTCATTTTATACACTATCATATGTTCCCTTACTCACCCTTTCCCCACTAAGTTAAGGAGCCCCATCCCCACCTGAAAGGCCCAGATGTTGTAACTTTTCCTCACAGAGCAATTAGTCTGGCCCCTCGATGATATTCAGTATCTCCCTCTGCATCTTTTCTAGATATCCAATATCTTTTTGAGGTGACTAGAACAATGTAGAGTTTCCCAAGAGCGGTTGTACTATAGATTTTTGGAACACCATTATGCTTTTTGTAGTTTTATTTTTCATTTGTTTTCTATTGATCTCCAGTATGGGATTTGCCTTACTCACAACCTCCATGCACCGGGGTTTACATTTTCATCAAGCTGTTCCCAACTACAACCCAATAAACCACTGCCAGGTCAGACCCTAGCAGCATACATATATCAAGTTCAAGAGCAAGGTGTTTGTGATTTGCCCATTCTCTAATGGTAAATAACACATTCTAACATAATATTAACAGGATTAATTCAATTCTATACTGTTCCAGAGCCAAAGGTTCTGTGGTTAATTACAATTAATAATGCACAGTGTAGTAAAATCACAAATATTATGAGAACATCTTAGTATTCCAAAATACAATATTTAAAAAACTATTTAACAACTAGAACGATTTTTAGTACAAGCAAAGCTGTTAAAAATAGCTGGCATAATGCCCCATCATGCCATTGCATACCTTTAATCATGTCACTGAAAGCCTGGAAAAAGAGGACAACCTTAATATGGCACTGAAAAGAGTTGGAAGTAAGGTGGGTTTCAGTGGGGGAACATTCCAGAAATGCAGGTCACCACTAAGAAGGCCCTGTCTTGTTGCCAAACTCCAGGCTTTCCTCAGAGGTGGCACCCTGAACAACTTGCTGACTGTACTGTCTGGGTACACTCAGGCTGGGAAAGAGACTTCACTCCACCAGGCATTACAGTGCCATGCCATGTAGGGCTTTACAGATTAAAACCAACATCCTGAAATGAGCCTGGAAATGTATTGGCTGGGTTTGTTTCTCTTGAAATTCAGTGCTCCATGGTAGATACTTCAGATTGGAAGAAGAGGCAGGGTGAGAATTCTTAGCTGAAAGGCCAAAGCCAGTGAAGGCAGTAAGAACCAGACTGTGCCTGATTTGGGGCGAAACACTGTAGACTAGGGAAGGCCACAAGGGAAGGATATAACCTTACAAGTAGCATTGTCTGATGTTAGGGATGGAGAGCTAGCCAATTAAGCAACATCTGGCATTTATGACAACTGGCCTACAAGCAGGAACCTCCCTGCAGCTGGAGCTAGCTCCATTTGGTGTGGTAGAGAAGAGGAGGATTCAGCTGAGAATTGACTCCCAGCATGAGCAGCATTCGACCCCAAACTAGCTGGCTCATTAACTTTATGGATGCTTCTTGCTAATGACCTTTACATTACTCTATCACAAATTGGCCAGTCCTGGTCAGTCCACTTTAACATAATAAAAGACTGTAGTGAGAAACTTCTCATCTTGAGCTGCTGGGGAAGAAAAAGGAGAGAGATTGCAGAGAATGATAGGTTGTGAACAGGAAATATACAGAAGAATTACTTTCTGGAAGGCCTTTTGCTCTGTTTCCCTGTTATCATCTTACACCCTAGAACTGGTCAGAGTTCTAACTTCCTAGGACTGCAGTCTGCAGCTATAAATGAGCAGATGTAAAGGAATCTGGCCAAGAGCATTCTGGGGTCAGAGGCAATAACTGCAGCAATATGCCTGAGGTAAACAGCAGTAATACAGTAGGCCTCATACATCAGTGAGTTTCTACAGTCATTGAATTTCCCTTCCATTCAAGACATGGTGATGGTCCTGGAGAGGTCTCTTGGCTGTTCAACTTCTGCAATATTCAATTCCCAAAAAGGTTACAGAAATACAGCCCCTTTGTAAGACTGATTCACACAGCTCTGACCAAGGGTTCAATGGATCTTTATTTCGCTTCAACCAAATGGAAACACAAAATAAAATGGCTCTGCTGCTGCCATATGCTATCACATTTTGAAAACAATTTGTATGTTGCCACTGAATATCAGCAGTAAACTACAATGAAAAAGGGGAGAAAGGAAAACTGTACATCCTGGGTCGATTAAGTATGTCTATTTTATTAACTATTTAGCTCCTCGTTGAGTTACTGCAGATGTGGAGAAGGTAACTGCAAGGCTTAAATGCATTTCGTATCACTGATTTGTTGCTGTGGCAAAACAATTGAAGGATTGCAGCTGAACATTGGCCTAAAAAGGAGAAACATAACTTCAACACTTTGCTTCAAAGCTACATTTGTGCTTTTTAGGTAATTTTGCAATTTGCTGCTAACATTCAGCACTCTATTCACTCCATTCCTTGGATGGGATGGGTACAAGAATTCCACCCATGCAAGCTCCTCAGCAACTGGGGTATGCAGGCATATCACCTCTGATAATGGATGTAGCACACAGAAACATAGAAACAGAGTGAGTCAGAAGGGGTCTCCCAGGCCATCTAGTCTGACACCAGGCTCCAGCTGGCTCCGCTCACGACATGCCCACCATGTGCATGTCCAGCCTATCTTTGAACACCCTCACCAATGGGGCCTCAACCACCTCCCGTGGAAGCCCATTCCACACCCTCTGGGTCCTAACTGTCAGGAAGTGCTTCCTGGCATCTAAATGGAACCTTGGTTCCCTGAGCTTTGCTCCGTTGGAGCGCGTCCTGCCTTCCTCTGCAGGGGAGAACAGGTCTCTACCCACCTCCATGTGACATCCCCTCACATACCTGTACGTCACCAACAGAGCCCCCCTCTGAGTCTCCTCTTCTCCAGGCTGAAGAGACCCAGTTCCCTCAGCTTCACCTCATACAGCATCCCTGCAAACTGGCCACCAACCTTGTGGCCCTACGCTGCACTGACTCTAACCTGGCTATATCCTTCCTGTAATGAGCGGCCCAAAACTGAGCACAATACTCCAGTTGTGGGCACACCAGAGTCATATAGAGTGGTAGTAATACCTCTCTCAATCTAGAAGCCACACTTCTGGCTATGCAACCAAGGGTCGTGTTCGCCCTCTTGACCACCGCATCACACTGCTGACTCATGTTTAGCCTGCAGTCAACCAGTACCCCGACGTCCCTTTCACAAGTGCTGCTCTCCAGCCACTTGTCCCCTATCCTATACTTACGACATCTATTCCTATGCCCCAAGTGCAAGACCTTGCACTTACCCACATTGAACGCCATCCTGTTGCCTCCTGCCCACTTCCATAGTCTGTCCAGATCCTTTTGGATCTGGAGTACCTGCTCCTCAGTTGTGGCCACTGCCCCAGTTTTAGTATCGTCTGCGAATTTGATCAGCATGTCATTGATGAAAAGATTAAGCAGGATTGGCCCCAGGACAGAGCCCTGTGGGACCCCGCTTGTCACTGGCCGCCATCCCGATGATTCCCCACTAATGGTTACTGTCTGCTTTAGGTCAGTCAACCATGCCCTAATCCATCGAACAGTGCTTTGGTCTACCCCAAAACTCCTCAGTTTCTCAACGAGGATATCATGGGGCACTTTGTCAAAGGCCTTGCTGAAATCCAGGTAAACCAGATCCACTGCATCCCCTTCCTCTAGCCATCTCAAAACCTTGTAGAATTCCACCAAGGTTTGCCTGGCAGGACCTGTTTTTGCAGAAGCTGTGTTGTGTGGCTGCCAGCCTCCCTTCCCTATCTAGCATCACTAGATCTCTCTCCATTATGAGCCTTACAGTGGATGTAAGGCTAACAGGTCTATAATTCCCCATGTCCCTTCTACTACCCTTTTTGAAAATTGGGACCACTGACGCCACCCTCCAGTCCTCTGGAACTTCACCCGTTCTCCACGGGACCTCAAAAATGGAGGCCAGCGGGCATGAGAGAACCCCTGCCAACATAGTCAGCAAGCAACTCTAGTAACCATTGATAACCTCCTCCTCCATAAATTTGTACAATCCCCCTTTAAAGCTAGCTAAATCGGGTGGCAGCACTACTTTCTATGGCAGTGAATTCTACTGTGCGAAGGACTTTCTTTTATCTGTCCTAAATTTCCTGCCAATCAGCTTCATGGGATGACCCTGGGTTTATGGAAGAGGAAGAAATCTACCCCCCACCACAAAGCATAATTTTAAATGCTTCTATCATGTCTCCCCTCACTTGCCTTTTTCTACGCTAAGCAATTAATTGTTGTAACTATTCCTCATAGGGGAGTTGCTCCAACCTCCTCACCATTTTAGTTGCCCTTCTCAGCACTTTCCCCAGCTAAATAAGGTCCTTTTTCCAGGTGCATTTACCAGAGCTATGCAAAATATTTGATGTGTGGTTGCCCCAAATATTTGTAGAGTGTATCCAGAAAACCCTGGATGGATGGAAAAAAGTGTTGGGGGGAAATGATTCCCAATAAAAGGCAGCCTACCTCTTTTAGCTTCAAACATTCCCTGATTTCCACTAACCTGTAGCTCTAGCCTCAGGGCTTAACTGCATGTTGACATTAAGAATGAGATGCTTGGGATGACTGTTATCATGGTGGTATCAGTATTCACTCTTCATGAAATCTGTCCCTCCTCAACACCTGATATTTGGAAAAAAGCTCTGGTTGCTACTGGCAAGATTTTTCCCCTGCTGCTAATTGTGTGCACAAAGCTAGTGGGATGGGAAGGATTTCATGGGGACAATGGCTGCGGGAGGAAAGGCTGTATCTCCCTTCCCTGTGTGCTGTGAAATTGATAAGAACTGGGAATAGGGGTGTGGAGCTTGGTATTTAATTAAAAAAACACATATACAGAGTGGCTGCTAATTAGGCTGGTTGCATTACAAGTAGTTTTAGCTTCACTATCTATTCCACATGGATGCTGTAGAAAAGGAGGATAATGAATAAAATTAGGCCACATTTATGAAGTTATCTGCATGTTGAGCAATGCTAAAGCTATAAGGCATATTAGAGTAATTATGTAACAAAGAGAAACACTTTACCTGCAAAGCGGCTCTACAAAATCCTTCTCAAGGAAATCATGATCTTTCTTTACAGCAGCAATGTCAATAGGAAACTGGAAATCTACAGGAGAAGAAGCACTTGTAACTGGAGGGGTTACACACTTACTGACTTCCACGAGGCACCAAATGTACTTTCAGTCTAAATGAAAATTCAAGGGGAAATTAAAAATTCTCTGACTAATATTTCCAATGATGTGACTTTTTGTTTTAACTCAAACGGACTTGCTAAGATCTAACTAATGTGATGTTAATGTCATATTTCAAATATAATAAGGCATGAGAAGGTTGTATTTTAATCTTCAAAGACTCATGAAATACATTCTGATCAGAATTGTAGAACAGTTGTTCTAACAAGGAGCCTGGCCATCTTCATTCTAGTTTTTCATAATATTTCATTCTTGCCTTTAGAAAAGATACAGTAAATTGCACAATGATGTAGCAAAGATCAGACAGAAAAGCTTGAGCATATATGTCATTCATTATCATTATTTATGAGCTGAAATATACCTAGCTGTCTTCCCTTTAAGGAAGGGACCCAAAGCATATAACTATAAGCATAATAACAGAAACATTTAGCATGCAATCCTGCATTTTTAAAAAGTCTAGAGTGCCTATTTTGGACTGAGGCCAGTTGCCAGCAAGGCATGGCATGGCAGGTCCAGAACCAGGGCAGGGTCAGAAACAGGCAAGGTTGAGATACCTACAAGGCATGGCAGAACCAGAGGCAACGTCCTTCACTTCTGGACCTCCAGTGCCTTGCTGCATATCTAACCTTGCCTGTCCCTGATTCTGCTTTGCCTCTGGACCTGCCAGGCCTGTTCACTTGTTTCTGACTGTCATTGCTTCTGGTTCGCCTATGCTTGATGGTATCTGACACTTGTTTGTGCATGGCTTTGCCTTTGTCTCTGGTCTCCTGCATCATGCCAACATTGCTTCACCCCTAGTCCTGGTGCTGCAAGCATAGACAACTGCCGCCTATGCCCAGGACCTGTCCGGATCATGCTCCACATGATGCTATATTTTCATCAAAGAAAAACTTCAACTGGTGCAAATGTGAACCTTCTTCCAATACAAAAAACAGGTATATTCCTGATTCTGATCAGGAATGCTGCAGGAATCCTACTCCCCAATCCAGATAGTTCTCCCCTGCTTATTAACTTATTTAAAGAGGCATCCATGCCATTCCAATTGAATAAATGGCTTCTTGTCTAATTTGTCCTCTATTTATTGTGGATATAGGTTTATTTCTTGAAAAAAACCGTTCATTTGTGAAGATATTTAATTTCCCTTGCATGCAAAACCCAATATGGTATTACTGGAAAAAGCCCAAGCCTATCCCTGATTCCTTGTTCTTGTGTTTAAACTTCAATAGCAAATACAGAGTGCAATGGATGTCTGGTCACCGAATGGACATTGCTACACAACAATGAGTGGCACAGCTCTCCTTCTCCCCCTAGCTGTGCCATTTTGTGGAAGTTTTTTTTAAAAATTAAGAAATGTCTTTAGACACAGAATGCATACCTGTGTAACATGTTGCTCTTTAAATAAACCCTACACGAATGAACAGGTGGACATAAGCAAACCTTCAGCATTGCAAATTAACATTGAACACATTTTCCTCCCCTCCAAGTATTTATTTTTAATCACAGTGTTTCTGTCTCACTTTTCAGTCCCTGATGCGGCTCCCAATGGGCTCACAACATCAGTTAGCATCCATATACACTCCGTCCATATACATTCCATAAAATTTTCCATCAAACAGCAAAGACTAAGCAAGCAACTAAGCAGTCAGGTTAAAAATCAGAAGTCAGATACTAAAATCACTGAATGTGTTGAAACTAAATCAAAGCAAAGGTGTGGTAGAACATAATGTGATGGACAGCATGACAAAATGCTAATGTGGAAGAGCCCATCTGGGCTTCTAAACTTAGGCAGATCCCCTTGGGGAAGCTTGCTGGTCTAGTGTCCCACCCAGCTAGACTTCTGATGCAAAGTAAGAACTCTGAGGACTCGTGTGGGACCAAGTGGCGTTTCAGAGGCCTCTCCCACAAAGTTTAGATAATAATCAGCATTATTAATTGTGCTGGGACACTAACTGCAGGGAGCGAAAGCAGATTGAACAATACTGTAGTTACAGGGTCCAAAAAGGTATAGCGGCTACTGCCACTCAAAGCCATACCTTCATACAGTTGTGCATACTGTGGGAATCCAGCAGCTCGCAACCAGTCACAGGCCTCCTTTGCTTCAATTTCTAAAATGGAATTAAAAACAGGATGTGTTAAAGTTCCATCTTATGCCTTGGCTTTTTCTCAGTCACTTGGAAGCAAAACTGTTCTCTTAGTGCAGGCAGCATTTTATCTTCATGTTTTCACACTCAAGTCAATCCTGGTTTTAAAAAGTCACTCCCAGTTGTTATGCCTTTTTTCCCCTCTTCTCTGTTTTGGTAATTGTTTATTTCACTGAATGTTGACTCACACCAATATAGTTGCCAGCATTTCAGCTACTGACATGCCTTGCTGAAATTTGGCAAGTCTCCAGCGAGTGTCAGAAAAGCCTAGGGTCAGTCTGACACTGTTTTAATTGGTAGGAGTACTTTTACGTACGGAGTCATTGGCAGGTCATTTGATGACACTGGATTCAGCTCTGGCTAAGATGATGACATTCTTCTCTCCCCCACTCTGTTTGCAGTTCCAGAGATGAACATGTGCAGGAGTGAAATTCTCAGGAAATATTCACAATTTCCTGAGCTTGTGTTCATGTTCAAAAAAGGACTTCAAAAACTTCACATTTCCTCCCAAACCTGGTATTCTCATGCTTTAACCCATGGGGTAAATTGAGTAGTTGATGTTTGTGTGCTTTAAAAAGTGCACATTTTCTTCTTCGAAAATGCACATTTTTCTTGCTTGGGAAAAAAAGAATGCTTACTTTTAGGGCAAGAATGAGGTAAGGCAAGATGAGCCTCAAGGTGGGAAACAGAAATTCAGTGAGCTTGAACAACACTTCTTCTCATATTTCTCGTGAGTGCATGACAGGTATGACAGTCTTAACAAAAATATGGACTTTAACTGCCACATACCTAAGTGGTGAAAAGGAAAATAGATAAACTAAAGTAGCGGTGTGATGTGGATGCACTTTTCATTGAGGAATTTACAAAGAAGCAGGACTCCAATATAGTATTTGTGGGACATTGTTACCGGCACAGCATTGCTGCCTCCATATGTCAGCCACTTACCGTTTCCCATACAGATTTATTTTTCCGAAAACAAATCAGAGACTGCAACAAACCATTTCCCAAGAACTGTATTGATTTTTTGACATTGCTTCTTCCCCACCCCAATACAAACAGATTCAAGAAAGCAGACTTGATTGTTCTTTTGACACCACAAATACAGGCTTGGGTATAAATCTTTCCCATGTCAGCATCTGTGAGACAGTCAGATTTGTTAGACTGTTAGCTTGCACATAAAGCCATCCCTCTTGTGACATTTGAATGTCAGCAAGTATAGCAGCAGACAGGTTAGGTGTACATAATAAATTAGTTCTTATAGGATGTGAAAACTTTTCTCTAATTTCCCCTAGATAATAATATTTTATTTTATTACTAATATACTCTCACGTCTACTTCCAGGCAATGACCATGTTAGCAGAGAGAGAGAGAGAGAGAGAGAGACAGAGACAGCAGGAGCTTTCATGGGGCTGTTTTATCACACAACCAGGAAAGAGTGGGTCAAGCAAGCAATTGGGCATGGTCCCCATTCCTGGACTAATAAAAGAATCATGCTTGGTTAAAGATTCTGGTACTGGTGCAGGTTCTGGAGGGCCCCTCTCACTCTGAGTCCAGCTTCTCAACAACAATGTCACCTGTTCCTCTTCTTCATCTTTTGTATCACTAATATCCTCTGCTTGCTAACCATCTGGAGAGCCCATGTGCATGCAGTCAGGGGCTCAGCTTGTCCTTTTTCTCACCATCGCCTATGCCAGTGGTGGCAAACCTATGGCAGAGCATTCTCTGTCGGCATGCAAGCCAAGTCACCCCAGCATCGCCCCAGCAGCTGAGCATCGGATAACAGCACACATAGGGGACATGTGCATGCTCGGAAAGGAGTAGCAGCGCCGGGCAATGACATCACACGTCACAACTCATCTGAGTTTTTGCATGGCTGGTCAGTGTGCTGCCAAGGATACACACACACACGCACGCATGCTTGGACTGGCTGTGACTTGTTTTTCCTAAACTAAAACCTCAGTATTCAGGTTTTATTGCAGTGTTGGCACTTTGCGATAAATAAGTGGGTTTGGGGTTGCAGTTTGGGCACTTGGTCTCTAAAAGGTTTGCTTATGCCGAAGGAAGAGGAAGGTGAACAAGCATTGTGCAGTGGTGAAGAGGAACAGCAGATTGGGTGGGGTGGCTCTTGTCAGTGGGCCCTCTGCCGGGATATGGAGGCCCAGACATGGAGGCCCTTGATGGTGGCCTTGCCAGATGCTGTAAGCAAGCGAGGACATGACTTTTACAAGGGAGGAGTAAAGGGAGGGCAGCAGCTCTTGCTGGTGTTGTGCACTGCATCTTAAGGTGGACCAGCTCAGCCTCCCTAGAACCAATGGAACAATATTCTTGCAAGAAGAGGTAGGAGAGGCGTTTGGCACGGAAACGTGACTGAATGGAGAACTCTGCCCCATTTATCTTGTATAAGCTTTATAATTTTACTGTCAGAGAAACAATGTCTGCTTGTTCTAAAGTAGGTCAGGGATATCACAGGGTACTGAATTCCATAGATAACTCATGCTAAGTTCATTGGAAAGTTTCCACCGGCATCCCAGAAACAATGCACAGGTACTTAACAGTCCTCCAAATGTTATTTTTAGTGCCATATTTTTGAGATCATATACAAACATCTCAATGGTTAAATTTAAATGAACACTGAAGCTTAATACATTGTATTATGCATGCCGTATTGCTCATCTTTGTAATGAGATTTTCAACTACAGAACACATTAAAATGATTTTATATTGTGCTATGCAATTAGTAATGAAACTAAAATGATGATGAGATAAAATAAAACTTCCAAAGCTAGTTTTTCTGTTTGTTCTTAGATTCTGTGAAGAACGTAATGGCATAAGTAGTATTCCTATTAAAGTAGCAATTTGATTTCAAGACAGCAGGAAGTAAATCCTCCCTTTTGATTCAAGGACAGCTCAGTTGTTGTTTACACATGTTATTGGGTAACTGTGTACCAGGGGTTCAGAAAGCACTTCAGAGGACATTCACATAGCCCTTTGCCTCTTTGGAGGAGCTTTGGGAATAGAAAACCAGAATTGTGTGCATATTTGTGGGCAGAGGAAAAACGGTAGAGCTGCAGTGATTTCCTTCCTTAGATGGAAAAAAGAGGTGATGGCCTGAAATTAAAAGACAAAACCAACCAAAAAACCTTAGGCAGAAGAGGACACCATAAGCAAGTCTTCCCAGCCTCATGTTCTCCAGTTATGCTGAAGAAGAACCCCATTGTCTGCATAGAGTATGATGATGCTGGGTATGATAAGAGTTGCAATCCAACATCTCTGGAAGACTAAAATCTATGGAATGCGCTCCCCAGAGAGGTCCGCCTGGCGCTGTCATTATATGTTTTTCGGTGCCAGGCCAAGACCTTTTTATTTAAATGGCATTTTAATTGTTAGCTTATTTATTGATTTTAGATCTTTGGTCAGGGTATTTCCAATTTTATTGTTTTTATATGATTATATGTATTTATTTATTGTTGTAAGCTGCCCCGAGGCTTCGGCGAATGGGGCGGCATAGACGTTTACTAAATAAATAAATAAATAAATAAATAAATAAATAAATAATAAAAGTGGCAACCCATTACCACAGTAACACATGCCATGTATTAAATATAACATGTGATTTAGTACTGAAGCAGAAGAGGTGCATGCAGCTCATCTTCACCCTTATTCATTTTGTGCAAATATGTGAAGCTCTGCTCACATTTGGCAGCCCAGCTTTTTTTCCTTTAAATTCCTTTAAATTAAACCCTGATTCTTGGTACATGCAGATGCTAAAGGAATTGGGGGGGGGGGGGGGGGGGTCCATCAGTGTCAAGTGACACCCCCCCCCTTTCTAAACCCATTCATGCAGAGGTGGAGGAAGGTTAGAAACATTTAAATCTCCCCTAACGGTCCTGATCCACATCAGGTTCCACATACTTTATACAGGAGTAAATAAAAGCGTGGGAACAGTTGTAATTTGAAACTCAGTATTTGGTCAAGCCCCTGTTATTTGCTAATCAAATATATCAGAGTAAGTATTGACTGGCCAACAATGAAAAATTATTAACACAATTAAAATAAAGATGACACAACTTTGGATCAGTCTAAATCTCAAGCACTCAAAGCAACAGCAAATCAAGTGAAGACCTCTTGACAGACAAGAGCTACCCTTCCAATCAAGGCATAATCATCTTTCTTAAAAGCATCCTTACCCTTAAATTATGCATCCTTCACAACTAAGACGGTCGTTCTAGGGCTACTGATTTATGAGCCGGACCATTAAGAGCAAACATCCATATTCCTGTTCTGGGTGTTATTCAGTTAGTAGTTTTAAAAATACAAAAATAAAATGTACACCAAATAGGCAAGATGTCAAATTATAAAGCGCACTAAAGGAGATATAAAAGAAGTGTGTCCATATATATTGTTGTTATATTGGGCTTCCTTTGCCTTCAGGCTATGAGTTTCCCATTTTTAGACTGTGGGTTTTTACCCTGTCCTCAAAGAGCTCAGTGTATTTCCTAAATTATGTGATCAAGTTCTCTGAGAACAAGAGGGGTTTGTACAGCAGTATGGGGTTTGTACAGCAGTATAAGGATTTAAGTAATACTTATTCCCATCCATTGTGATCCATAAATCTACAAAATAAAGTCTCAGTTCAATGATATATGAGAAATAATGTTGCTGTATATGTTACAGGGTGGAGAACTATACATTCAGTAACTCGATCATTTACTGTATGTAAATGCTGCCTAGAGAATTCTTATGAACTAGTGAGTGGCATATAAATAAAATAAAGAAATAAAGAAATCTACCTATTATAGCTGATTGGCCATTATCATTGATAACAGCACAAATATGACTGAGCCTTTGTAACAGCACAAATATGACTGAGCCTTTGATAGACATAAATTGTTTGAGAACAGTCCACAGGATACTTAAAAAGGCTGCAATCTGGTTTGTACCACCTTCCTACCTTGACCAGCCTC